AAATAAATAAATAAATAAATAAATAAATAAATAAATAAGACTTTCAGGAGAAGGTTTTGTCCATCTCTAAAAGTTAAATCTAGGGCAAAATCTTATATGAGGTACAAATAATTCTAATAAACAAGGAACTGGATTTGATATGTTTTAGACAAATATGCAGAGTCTGTCTCCAATAGGAAAATCCTATGAGATAAATCAAATTGTGATGCTGGGGTTTTAAGAGAAATTGTGTTAATTAATGATATTATTTTTTATTCTAACCACTCAGTAAGAAAATTTAATATTTAGAGGGGGTCGGTCAGGGTAAAATGGACTAATATTTATTTATTTATTTACGACATTTATATGCTGCTCTTCTCACCCCGAAGGGGACTCAGAGCAGCTTACAAGCTATATATACATATAATACACTATACTATTAGCATAGTACAATTTCAGCATTAAACACAATATAGCAATATTGTACTATACCAATTATATTGTAATATTATTAATAATATTACACATAATATAAATATATAATTACAATATCATATTATTATTATTAGTATTATATTGCATAATAATATGGCATAATAAATATGGCAAAAGAAGGTTTGAACTTAACAAGTTTTGAACATATTATTAGCTAAAGAGGCTACCTGAATATTTATTTATTTATTTTTATTTATTTATTTTCTATATTTATATCCTGCTCTCTCTCACTCCAAGAGGAATTCAGAGTGGCTTACAATATGGCAGTATTTAGTCTCACATACAGTATACAATCAAATAAATATGATACATAATATACATAAATACAGATAAAAACATATAAACACTGTAAGATATATCAATATATCATATTGACTTTGAAAGATATTACTGTGGGTTAGTTCAATGGAGATGGGGATTATCAATAGTAGGGTTTGAAGCATAGTAGAATTGATTAACACAGAGAAATCTAATTAATATTCAACACAGAGGAATTAAGATGTTTCAGTACCTATAAACAATGACTGGAGAATTTGAAGTCATTTTCTCTTCCTTTTGCTGTTTATCTTTACCGTTTAGTTCAATATACTATGTTAGTTTAGTCTGTAGTTGGTAGTTTGATTGGGGTAATTATATCCTAAATGTTGTTTGATGTGTTGAAACTTATATTTGTTAAAAAATATATTCAAAAATTACCAAACATTGTCAAAAAGAAAAAAGGAAATAAATTCCAGATGAGTACAGTAGAATCTTGCTTATCCAACATAAAAGGGCCAACACAACATTGGATAAGTGAAAATGTTAGATAATAAGGAGGGATTAAGGAAAAGAATATTAAACATTAAATTACATTATGATTTTACAAATTAAGCACCAAAACATAATGTTTTACAACAAATTGGAAAAAATAGCAGTTCAATACACAATAACGTTATGTAGTAATGACTGTATTTACGAATTCAGTATCAAAACATCGCAATGTATTGAAACAGCTGTGGATCTGGGTGGAGGCAGACTGTATTGGATAATACAGAACGTTGGATGAATGAAGGTTGGATAAGCAAGACTCTACTGAAATATGCACACACTAAGCAAATTTACACTAAGACATAATCATTTTGCATAATATTCCAAGGATGAATCTGAGATCTCAGCTCAGAAAAAGGATGGTGTAGCATTCTAGATCTCTTATACTTACTGGGCTACCTGATAGTACTCCTGTAGGAAATCTTTCCAGTGTGTCTTTGTCATCAGCAGTGGAGACTCAAAATCTCTGTCAATATCCTGGTGCCTCAAGCTGGCTAAGTGTTCCTCGCATGCACGGATCGCAGTCTCAACCAGCCGGGATGAGAGAAAGATTCTTTTACGGCCAGGAGATTTTTTACCTTCTGTAAGTAAAATATTGATGATGCAATGATAGGTGTGTGTACGTGCCTTAAAGTCTCATGTCAGCTTATGGGGAACTCACAAATTTCATGGGAGTTTTCTTAGGCAAGAAGTATTCAGCAGCAGTTTTGCCACTTCCTTCCTCTTTAATATAGCCTGCAAAACTTGGAATTCTTGGTGATCTCCCATTACATTACTAACCAGGGATGCCTCTCCTTAGCTTTCAAGAGCCAACAGGGACTAATGCCTTCAGAATATTTAGGCAATGATGCCAGAGGAAATGATAGATATCACCTCTGGTGTAAGATAAACCTACTAGCATTCACAATGGAAATAACAGGCTTTCTAAACTACTGGGAATTGACAAAAATAGCAATAGAAAAGAAATTAATATCTGCACTAGGTTTTGAAAGATGCTGGCAGGATATAAGAGGTGTTAAACATTGTAAATTTTCTTTTTTCACCACTTACCACTCACTATCTGTACTTACCTGGAGATAACTGGACATCTAAGAGCTCATTCTCATTTGTATCCAAAGATTCTGTGAAAATGGATTTATTCCAATATCGCTTCACTACCAGTTTGAGAAGGCTCCTGGCTGCAGTGAGTTGGAAATCCTCTACCATAGAAGAAGGGAAGGATACAAAGTATACATACAGCCCAGAAAACTCACAGCAACCCACGGATACAAAGTTCTTTGTTCGTGCCTAGGGATGTATTTTTGTATTCTCTGGATATCTCAAAGATTCATGTGAGCAACCAGCTTTTTCTTCTTATGTAAAGTTATGCTGTATAAGGTCAGAAGTTTCTAGGAAATTCAGAAATATGTAACTGCTAGGCCTGGGTAACAACGGAAAAATTTGTTTCTAAAATCGATTTGTATTTGGGGGGTTTTTTTGTTTCGATATTTAAAATAATTACAAAATTTTCCTTTTAAAAAGTTTGATATTTACGAAATTTCGTAAATGGTAAAAAATTAACGAATTGATTTCCGAAACAATAACGAATCGATTCGTTAATGGCGGACGCGACCGCGAAATACGCTAAAAAACCTCCAAAACCTTCTGAAGCTTCCCTCTCCCTCTGTTGTTGACTGTTGGTGTGATATTATAATTTTTTTCCACTAATTAAACCATAAAACTGGCCCAGACATGCGGAAATAATAACGAAACGACCTCAAAACAATAACGAAACGAATACAATATCGAAATACGAAGCATTTACAAAACGTTTTTGAAAATTCGTTTTTTTAATAATTGCTCCAGAATGGTTCGTTATCGTTTTGTAATTGAAAAAATTAACGAATTATTAACGAATTACGAATTAATGAAACGAAACCACCCAGCCCTAGTAACTGCTAGTACTGTGAGTTTCTGAGTGTCAAAACCCTACCCTCAGCAGGATTCATCTTAGGTGCTTTTCTTGCCAAAATTTAGACTCTAGGCTCCAAGGGACACTTTCTTGGTTTGTTATAGCATTCTATAAAAAGCTATGTTTTCATAAACATGTGAATAAAAAGTTGCATAATTTACGTTATGTTAACATAATATTTCTAAATTTGGAAAATATCTTTCAGAGCTTATTAGACCAAAATTTTAATGTTTTTGTTCTGAGGTGGGATAAAGTTTGGAAAAAATGGCAGATGTACAAGAAATTTAGGGGAAATATTATCACTCAAGGACTGAAAAACTAATGTCCAGGAATATATTAAGTTAAGAGGTAAGTGTCAGCCACAAGTGCATTGTGAAAATGAGGAGTGTTAGGCCTCACCCCTTCATGTGCAAAATATATTTTTCTCCTTCCTCCTTGCCAAAGAAGAGTGTTATGAACAGTGCTTACCAATAAAAGCATGCTTTTCGTCAGCTGCTCCAAGACGGTAGCACCGTGGAAAAAAGGTATCGGCATCAGCTTGATCAAACCATGGCAGATTGCGTAGGTTGAGACACAGTCCTACCTGAGAAAGAAGGTGAACATTTACAGGATCTAGATTCCCTGATTCCCCCATAACACACATACACACACCATTTCATTCTAATCCTGCATGAATTTTCCCCACTCATTTTACATGCATGACTAATGTGGCTCAGATGTTTATGAAATAGGATTCTGCCCACCTTGGTGGTAAAGGTGCCTGCTTTGGCATAGTGATTCATCATCTGGTCCTTGCGCAGGAAGCGGCAGTCAATAACATCACGGCGATTGGTCCAGATGAAGTAGGGGGTCTGGTTGCGAACCAACCTGGACTGCCAGTGAAAAGAAGAATAGAAAACAGCATGAAAGCCTAATGTAGGCCTCATAGAATCATAGAGTTGGAAGAGATCACAAGGGCTGTCCAGTCCAACACCATTTTGCCCATGCAGAAACACAGAATCAAAGCACCTCTGATAGATGGCCAAACCTCCAGAGAAGGAGACTTCACTATATTGTTATTATTATTTCGGTTGCTTCTACCCCGCCCTTCTCACCTCGAAGGGGACTCAGGGAGGCTTACAAAAACAAGGCACAATTCGATGCCCGTATCACAAACAATAATAAAACAAAATAACATCAATTAACAATTAAACAACATTTCTTACATTGCTACCATAAAACCAATAAAACCAATAAAATCAATACAAACCAGTTTCTCCTCATTGACGGTCAACGTTCGCTAGCTCATACTCCCAGATAGCATATTCTATTGTCGAACAGCTCTTAGAGTCAGGCTGTTCTTCCTGAACTTTAGGCAGAAGCTCCTTTCCTATCATTTGAGCCCATTGCTCAAAGTCCTAGTCAAAGCCCTTAACGGTTCTGACCCAGTTTACTTGTCCAAATGTATCTCCCACTACGATCCACCTAGGGTCCTAAGATCATCTGAGGAGACCCTGCTCATTGTCCCTCCATTGTCGCAATCGCGTCTGGCAGGGACAAGGGACAGAGCCTTTTCTCTGGTGGCCCCCCGGCTATGGAACTCCCTCCTGAGTGAAATTAGATCTGCCGCATCCCTCTTGACCTTCTGGAAATGAGTAAAATCCTGGCTATGGGATCAGGCCTTTGGAGAATAGGCTGACCTACTGACGTGTTGACTTATTTAGAACTGATGAACTGCCCTTGGATAATGATTTAAATCGGTGACTGCTGACTATTTGTTGTCTGTTTTTATATTGTTTTTATATTGTTTATACATTTTATAGTGTTTATACTGTTTTATATGCTGTTGTTATTATTACATTGCTGTTAACTGTATATTTATGTTTTAATGTGGGCGCCATGGGGTGCCGCTTTGTTCGCTGTCCTGAGTCCCTCTGCAGAGGTTGAGAAAGGATGGGATATAAAAGCCCTAAATAATAATAATAATAATAATAATAATAATAATAATAATAGTCTCCAGGGCAGCAGAAGAAAAGTCTGCTCTCTCTTCCTTATGGCATCCATTCAAATATTTAAACATGACAATCATGTCTTCTCTCAACCTTCTCTTCTGTAGGTTAAACATAGTCACTTGTTTAAGAAGCTCCTCATAGGGATTCATGATTTCCAGACATTTGATTATTTTAGTTGCCCTCCTCTGGACACCTTCTATCTTGTCAATATCGTTCCTGAATTGTGGTGCCCAGAACTAGACACAGTATTCCCAGTGAGGTCTGACCAAAGCGGAATAGAGTGGAACTATGAGTTCTGTTCATCTATACTTCTATTGATGCAGGCTCTCCAATATGGTGCCCTCCAGATGTTTTGAAGCTAATCACCCCTGACCAATGGCAATTCTATCTGGAGTTTTAGTCTATGCATTTGGAAGGTATCAGGTTAGGGAAGGTTGATGCAGTGCAATAGCAAAACAGAGCTTGGCCTTCCTTTTTACGGGTTTTCACACTTATGGTTTCACTGAGCCAGAGTGAAGAGGGAGGGGGCCAGAAGACAGTTCCACCTTGTCTCCTGTGATATGCTAATAATGTAATGTAATATATTGTATATACATATAATATTTGTAATATTATAATGTAATACAATATAATAGTAATAATATTATATTATAATTATATATTTTATATTACATGTAATATTAATAATAATATTAAAACCTAAAGTGCCAAGTCTTGATTTTATACTTCATAGTTAGTCTGTAGTCATTATCCAAACTGCTGAGGTCGAATTCCATATTAGCCTATTCTCAAAATGCCTGCATACAGAGCCAAGTCTTTAGTTTTTTTTCTGAAGACCATGAGGTATGCAGCCTGCCTGGGAAAGGAGTTCCACAGCCAAGGCGCCACCACTGAGAAGACCCCGTCTCTGTTCCCATCAGTTGCACTTGTGAAGAGGGTGGGAACAAGAGCAGGGCCTCCCCAGCCAACCTTAAAGCTCTTGTTGGCTTATAAAGGGAGATGCAATTGGATAGGCATGCTGGACCAGAACTGTTTAGGGCTTTATAGGCCAAAGCCAGCACTTAGATATGAGCCTGGTAGCAGACTGGCAGTCAGAGCTGATGTAACAGAGGGGTTGTGTGCTCCCTCTACGCTGCTCCAGTGAAAAATCTGGCTGTCACCCATTGGAATATTTGAAGCTTCCAGGCAGTCTTCAGAGCCAGGCCCACGTAAAGTACATTGCAGTAGTCTATTTGCGCATCACAGTAACCTAACCCTCACAAAAATGGAGGGCCAACTATGGTTGGTAAAATATAGTGGTTAAGCAAAAATGGGCACAGGGCATAAGTGTTTAAGTGTTTGTGGTGGTAGTAGGGGGTGGGGGGGGGGGGKGATAATGAATACAAAGTTCCGAGAGAGAGAGAGAGAGAGAGAGAGAGAGAGAGAGAGAGAGAGAGAGAGAGAGACTGTAGTTGTTAAAAAGTCTCAGAAGGACTGACGAGACCCAGAATCAGATCCTTACACGCTAGATGACTTTGAGCCAACTATTATTTCTTGGCCCATTTATCTCCAAAGACACTTATGAAGGTAAAACTGTCAGGGGATGAAATCACTCTTCTTTCTTGGAGAAAGGATAGAAGAAAATGTTAAAAGTAAGATAAATCATTACACTGTCACACAAAACTAACCATGAGGCTAAGTGTACCATCAGGGTCATCTTGCTGTTCATCTTCCTCTTCCTCCTCCTCATCTGTGGAAGGAAGATATGGAAATCATGAAGCAGGCAGTTAAACAGAGCTACAATCATAACTGTTATGTACAACAAAATGCATGCCATGGCCCACATGGCTTGGGGCTAAAGTAAAGGAAGGAGCTTCTTCAATCATACTAACCAGCTCTCACAGTAAGACCATCATCTAACATCCTTCTCAAAACATCACCTGGTGCTTCTGCCCTCCCACATACAGCAAACCTTACCATCAAATGGTATATCACTGTCATCACCATCTTCATCACGTTCCCCATCAGGGATGCGCTCCCGCTTAGCAGCAGCTTTTGGCACCCTGGGAATTTTTTTCTCCACCCAACCTCTGCCAAGCAGCCGTCTCCGGATTACAGGGTAAGGGCCATGCACCATGAAGATCTTCCTCAGCTGAGGATCACAGGGAAAAGAAGAATTGAGAGATTAGTCACTCTGCATTGCAAGAAAGGGGTTAAGGCAGTGGTCCTCCATCTGTGGGTCCCCAGATGTTTTGGCCTTCAACTCCCAGAAATCTTAACAGCTGGTAAACTGGCTGAGATTTCTGGGAGTTGAAGGCCAAAACACCTGCGGACCCACAGGTTGAGAACCACTGGGTTAAGGATACCACTGGAGTAAATGCTCAAAAGCTGAGGTAAGTTGAGTCAGCATTCCTCACTTTTATTGCTTTCTCCACATGTTGTCGAGCTTGCTTAAGGCGTTCTGGATTGAATGAATATCTGACATTGACACTCCGTGGTGTGTGCCCATCTACCAGATGATCTCCTGCAGGTGAGGGAAGATAACATGCAGAGAAAATTTAGTTTGCTATCTTCATTTAATCACTTCGTGGACACAATGTCTTTTGGCTGAGGCATTAAAGAATCTTTGATGCCCTTCTACATCTGAGGACACAGGTCTACAGTATGAGGGTCCTCCTGGACTCAGTGCTGACACTTGATGCTCAGGTGTTGGTGGTGCCCGGGAGAGCCTTTGCACAGGTAAAGCTTGTGCGCCAGCTGCAACTATACCTCGAAAAGCTGGGCATGACCATGGTGGTCCATGCCTTGGTTACATACAGATTTGATTATTGCAATGCACTCTACGTGAGGCTGGCTGCCTTTGAAAGTCAGCAGCCAGGCTTCTAAAGGGAGCTAACTAAAGGGAGAGCACAATGTCCCTTTTAAAGCATCTCCACTGGCTGCCAATAAGTTGCCAGTCCCAATTCAAGGTGCAGGTTATGACCTACAAAGTTCTAAACCGTTTGGGCTCTGCCTATCTTTGGGATTGCATCTTCCCCTATGAACCAGCACGGGCTCTGCGATTGGCCGGGGAGGCCCTCCTCTTGCTTCCGCCAACGTCATAAGCGCAGTTGGTGGGGACAAGTGAGAGGGCCTTCTCTGTGTCCCCCCCCCCCACACACACACACACACTTTGGAATAACCTCCCTAGGGAGATTAGGCAAGCACCCACATTGTCCTCTTTTTGCAGGGACCTGAAAACATGGATGTTCCAGCAGGTTTTTGAGAATGATTAGTCCCTAGGCCCTTTCCCTAGGCCATTGGATAGTACTCTGTTCAGCACTTTATTCACTTCCCCGGCCCTATGATACACTGTTGCACTATCCCTTGCTCAGCCCTTTTATAGTTGGTTCTGTCCAATTTGTAATTCTAGCCACTGGAATTTTGAATCTGTCTGATGGAGCTATAATGAAATCAGTTTTTAAATTTTTTATCTCTGTTTTAGTAGGATTTTATGTTTATGATGTTTATTTTATTTTTAATTTGTAAGTTTTTTTCTTTCTTTTTTTGGCAAGCTAAAGAATCATAACCCTTATAGCAAGGGAAAATGTACAGTGACAATTGCTAACAACCTGTGCTTTTTCCCAATATAATCATTTATTACTGAAATAGCAGTTTGTTTGACACCAACTCACAGAACAAAGACTTTGCAAACATTCGGGCTGCTCACCTTCTGACCTATATCTGCTGGTATTGGGAGCAGTGGACAGTTGGCGGCGAGTGGAATTCTGGTGTATGCGTTCAAGATTAGTTGGAGCATTTCTATTAGGCTTGAGTCTGCCAACTGAACATAATATTATAAAAAGGGATTGTTTATAAAAAAAATGTGAAGAATCAAATGATGTTAATCTACATCAGTGAATTGTAGTATTACTTGTTTAAGAAATATTGCTGCTTACCAAAATGTAGTAAAGTAAAGGTAAAGGTTTCCCCTGACATTAAGTCTAGTCTTCTCCGACTCTGGGGGGTAGTATTCATTTCCATTTCTAAGCCGAAGTGCCAGCATTGTCCATAGACACCTCCAAGGTCATGTGTCTAGCATGACTGAATAGAGTGCCATTACCTTCCCACAGACCTATTGATCTACTCACATTTGCATGTTTTCAAATTGCTAGGTTGGCAGAAGCTGGGATTAACAGCATGAGCTAACCCCCTCCCCAGATTCGAACCGCCAACATTTCGGTCAATAAGTTCAGCAGTTCAGCTGTTCACCCGCTGTGCCACCAGAGGGTATACCAAAAGGTATACCCCAATACATTATAATCTCAGCTGTAATCAAAGAAGAGACCAAACTTTGGCTCAAGGCATTCAAAATAATATTTGCTAATGCTTACTATGAAGGTGGGTTGCTTTGAGTTTTCCAGGCTGCATGGCCATATTCCAATAACATTCTATCCTGATGTTTCACCTGCATCTGTGGCTGGCATCTCCAGAAACTTTATTCCTAACTCTCTAATTGGGAGAGACAGTCCTATTCATCCAGATGAAGGCTCTCCCGTAATCTTCACTCAGTTGTTCAGCCCTACAGGTATCTGGTCAAGGGTTGATAGACAGCTAAGGGGGGAAAGGCTCCAATGAAATCTTTTTTCAATAGCACACACAGACACATATGGATAAATTACATGTGTTGCCATATATTATGCACATCTTTCAGGCGCACATTTAATGATAAGTTCCATCATTGGTAATGTGTTGCCAAATATTATCACATATCTAATGATAAACTGCATAATTGGTAATGTGTTGCCCTATAGTATCACATATCTAATGATAAATGGTATTGTTGGTAATGTGTTGCCATATATTATTGCGTATCTAATGATATATTGTATCACTAGTAATGTGTTGCCATATATTATCACATATCTAATGATAAATTATATCATTGGGAATGTGCTGCCAAATAAGTTTCTTCGAATTTTTATTTCACACTGCCTCAGAGAAGGCCACAAAATTGCTTCTAGCTCGGCTTTCTTTACTGTGATTGATAGGAAGCTGATGTTATGTTATCTTCGCCCTTATTATACCTCCCTGACCTGAGAAAACATATTGGCATAAGTGTAATGTGCTTATCTTACAATAACTTACCTACTATTCCAGGCCTTTGGCTCCCTCCAGTGTCACTATTCCCTCCTATTTTACACTTTGGGACCACCTGTCAGAGACCAATAAAGATATTGAGCTTGTCCACACTTTATAAACTCCTAGGGTAGCCCTATACAGAAGAAAGGAAGAATCTAAGAATCCCATGACCTGATTCTTGCAGTTGGGGATGGTGTGTGTGTGCCCCACCAAATCTTGCTAGGCACTGTAACTTCCATCAACCCTAGCCTAAATAGAATCATAGAATGTTTGAGTTGGAGGTGACCCCAAGGGCCATCCAGTCTAACCCCATTTTGCCTTACAGGAAAAGCACAATCAAAGCACACTGGCAGATGGCCATCCAGCCTCTGCTTAAAAATCCAGAGAAGGAGACTCCACCATACTCTCGGGCAGCATATTCCATTATCGAACAGCTCTTACCATCAGGAAATTCTTCCTAATGTTAAATTGGAATCTCTTTTCCTGCTATTTCAATCCACTACTGCTTTCTCTCCTAGTCTCCAGAGCAGCAGAAAGAAACCTTGCCTCCTCCTCAACAAATATTTAATAGTCATCATGACCCCTCTCTACTTTATTTTCTACAAATTAAACATAGTTAGCTCCCTAAACCACTGCTCATAGGGCTTGGATCCCTTCTACATTGCTATATAATCCAGATTATCAAAGCAAAACATCCACATTATCTGCTTTGAACTGAATTATATGAGTCTACATTGCCATGTAATCCAGTTCAAAGCAGATAATCTGGATTTTATATGGCAGTGTAGAAGGGTCTCTAAACCTTCCAAAACTTTGATCATTTTGCTCATCCTTCTCCAGACACATTCTATCTTTTTTTTTAAACTGGACACAATACTATTCCAGGTGAGTTCTGGCCAAAGCAGAATAAAGTGGGACTGACTCCCCTCAATCTCGGTACTATACTCCTATTGATGCAACACTGGCTCTTTTAGGCTAGCTCTGCACTGCCATATAAAATCCAGATTATCTGCTTTGAACTGAATTATATGGCAGTGTGGACTCATATAATCCAGTTCAAAGCAGATAATGGGGATTATTTATGTTGGTAATATGGATTATATGGCAACGCAGAGCTAGCCTAATATGGATTATATGGCCTTAGCTGCTACATCACACTGTTGACTCGTGTTCATCTTGCAGCCTACTAATGAAAAGCAATGTCCAACAACAACTGAAAGACTACACATTTCCCAACCTTCTTATGGGTCTTATTCTTCCATTAAGCCAGTGGTTCTCGACCTGTGTCCCCCCAGATACTTTGCCCTTCAACTCCCAGAAATCCTAACAGCTGTTAAACTAATAATAATAATAATAATAATAATAATAATAATAATAATAATACTTTATTTATATTCCAAAGGGGACTCAGGGCAGATCACAGTACACACACGGCAAACATTCAATGCCGCTTTGTATAGACAATACACAGACAGAATAGAAGGAGATGGTTTGTTTCGACTCAGTGTCCAGCTGTTTTTGGTGCCATGGAAGGTTGGGCTTGAGTCCAGGGGGTGCTGTTGCTCTATCCTCTGTGACGAAGAGCCGTCGGGACTTCCTCCTTCCTTTTGGCCGCCAAGCATTTTCTGATCTTTTTTCTTTATGGCGTTGTAAAACACCTCCCCCATTTTAGCAGTACCTAATTTCTCTAATCACAGCTAACTGATTAGGTAAACAATGAGCTAGGCTGACAGTTGGTAGCTCATGCCAACCCAGGGCTTAGAACTTGCAACCTTTTGGTTGATAGATCTTAGAATTGCTGATGATTTACCAGCTGTGCTAAACCTCCAGCCCTGGGATTCCTGGGAGTTGTAGGCCAAAACACCTGAAGACCCACAAGTTGAGAACCACTGCATTAAGCTGAATTTTAATGTTTTTCCTGTTGAGGCAATATGCAAAACACTATGTCTCCTTTGCATGAAATGTAGCTCTTCGCTTCCCAGGAGATAGGAAAGAGGAGAGTACGAAGAAACAGATTTAGGGCCCTTACCTGCATATTCTTGGCACCAGCTCCACTGCCTATACAGCAACTCACAGCGAACAGGTATGGCAGTCATGGTGCACTGCACAGCCACCTGGGAGGACAAAAGAGCTGCTGCATGTAAGCTCAAGCAACCTACTTACCCAATTCCATTCCCAGATCAGTATGCTATGATGCAGCCAAGGGCTGTACAGAGTCTTAAGGATGCATCTACACCAGGCCTGGGCAAACTTGGTTCTTCCAGGTGTTTTGGACTCCAATTTCCACCATTCCTAACAGCCTCAGGCCCCTTTCTTTTCCCCCTCAGCCGCTAGCGGCTGAGGGGGAAAAGGAAGGGGCCTGAGGCTGTTAGGAATGGTGGGAATTGGAGTCCAAAACACCTGGAGGGACCAAGTTTGCCCAGGCCTGGTAGAATAATACAGCCATTTATTCTTTGACAAACTCCTTTTTCTCCTAGAAAATGAATACATAGGGTTTCCCCTCCCCGCAAAAAAATCACACAGAGAGATATTGTCCTTAAGGACCCCCTCCCAGCCTTTCCCCTCAAGCCCACCTCCCCAAAAGCCTTATATCTCCAAAGAAACCCTTGAGAGCCGTGGCTGCAGCTCCCTTCCTTGCTGCTGCTCTGTCTGGGCTGCTGTTTGGCGTTTCCATGGCGACCAGACAGCAGAGGCCTACCTGTCTGCCTCCAGCCTTTCAAACCTTTTAGGCAGAACTGTACTGTGTGTGTTTCTGTGTGTGTTTTGAATGGGGGATCAGCAATTACTACAATCAATGCCAGAGAACTAAAGTGGTAGAATTAATACATTTTAGCTCAGTGTTTCTCAACCTTCCTAATGCCGCGACCCTTTAATACAGTTCCTCATGTTGTGGTGACCCCCAAACATAAAATTATTTTCGTTGCTACTACCTAATTTTGCTACTGTTATGAATCGTAATGTAAATATTTGATATGCAGGATGTATTTTCATTTGCTGGACCAAATTTGGCACAAATACCCGATATGCCCAAATTTGAATACTGGTGCAGATTTTGTCATTTGGGAGTTGTAGTTGCTGGGATTTATAGTTCAACTACAATCAAAGAGCATTCTGAACTCCAACAATGATGGAATTGAGCCAAACTTGACACACAGAACTCCCATGACCAATAAAAAGTACTGGAAGGGTTTGGTGGGCATTTGGGAGCTGTAGTTGCTGGGATTTATAGTTCAACTACAACCAAAGAGCATTCTGAACTCCAACAATTATGGAATTGAGCCAAACTTGACACACAATTCTCCCATGACCAACTGAAAGTACTGGAAGGGTTTAGTGGGCATTTGGGAGCTATAGTTTCTGGGATTTATAGTTCAACTGCAATCAAAGAACATTCTAAACTCCACCTGTGATAGAATTGAGCTAAACTTGGCACACAGAACTCCCATGACCAACAGAAAGTACTGGAAAGGTTTGGTGGGCATTTGGGAGTTGTAGTTGCTGGGATTTATAGTTCAACTACAATCAAAGACCATTCTGAACTCTAGCAATAATGGAATTGAGCCAAACTTGGCACACAGAACTCCCATGACCAACAGAAAGTATTGGAAGGGTTTGGTGGGCATTTGGGAGCTGTAATTGCTGGGATTTATAGTTAATTGCTGGGATTTAACCCAGCTCAACACTATGGGATTCTATGAGATATAGTTTTACAAGGGATGCACCTTGGAGAGGGTTAGAGTTGGGAGGCATTCATTAACACCACATGTGTCAAACTCAACATGTGCCTTTTAAATGTGGTTTTCTAGATGCTAGACTACAACTCTTGCATTGCTGACCCTTAGACATTGTCACTGGAGCCAATGGGAGTTGGGATACAGTCACATCTGGGCAGCTGCAAGTTGTTTTGTTTAGTCAGGGGATTTGAATTGAGATACAAAGCTTGTAGGTATGATGTCTGACTTTAAAATGTCCTTTAGCCTTTCCCCAGAGCCACAAGGTTTGCCTTTCCCATTATCCCCTGCTCACATGGCAGATAATCAAGTGATGGGAGTTGTAAATCAATATCATCTGGGCCACATAAAATGACATGGCAAGCCTTGGGTTTGATATATTGTCAAAGGCTTTCATGGCTGGAATCACTCAGTTCTTGTGGGTTTTTTTCGGGCTATATGGCCATGTTCTAGAGGCATTTCTCCTGACGTTTCGCCTGCATCTATGGCAAGCATCCTCAGAGGTGAGGTCTTGGGTTTGATAATTTTTGTGGCCTAATCTGTCTTCCCAAATGCTCCCTGCCGCTATTCTTCCCTTTTGAAAAATGTTTACTATGTGGGAAACCAAATCTCTGACTGACACTGACAGTGCAGCTACACTGTAGAATTAATATGGTTTTACACAGCTTTCGCAGCCATGGCTTAATGCTATGGAATGGCTTCAAACTACAAGAAAGGAGATTCCACCTGAACATGAGGAAGAACTTCCTAACTGTGAGAGCTGTTCAGCAGTGGAACTCTCTGCCCTGGAGTGTGGTGGAGGCTCCTTCTTTGGAAGCTTTTAAACAGAGGCTGGATGGCCATCTGTTGGGGGTGCTTTGAATGCAATTTTCCTGCTTCTTGGCGGGGGCTTGGACTGGATGGCCCATGAGGTCTCTTCCAACTCTTTGATTCTATAATCATGGAATCTGTAGTTTGGTGAAGCACCAGCACTCTTTGGCAGAGAAGGCTAAAGACCTTGTAAAACTACAGCTCTCATGATTCCATAGCATAATAGTTCAAATGGTACAGTATTAAATTGCATTTATTCTACATTTCAGATGCAGCTGCATTTGACATCAATTTTTTAAAAATGTAGTTTGCATTAGTGTTTTAAACTCAGTACTATGTTTGTGATATATGTGTTTTATTGTTGGGTTGCTGTGAGTTTTCTGGGCTGTATGGCCATGTTCCAGAAGCATTCTCACCTGACTTTTCACCCACATCTATGGCAGGCATCATCAGAGGTTGTGAGGTCTGTCGGAAACTAGGCAAGTGACGTTTATACATCTGTGGAATGTCCAGGATGGGAGAAGAGCTCTTGTCTGCCTGAGGCAAGTGTGGCCAGTTACAACATTTTTTCACAATGTTGTAGCCCTTCTCAAGCCATGAGGACAGGCAGGTAAATAAAAATAAATAAATAAATAAATAAATAAATAAATAATAATAATAATAATATGTCTCTCTTCATGGCTTGAGGAGGGTTACAACATAGTTCAAATATACACATAGAAGAAATTATTATTATTATTATTATTATTATTACATTGTGAATATCAGCAGAAGCATGATCAGATCTCCTTTTTGGATGTAAGAAGTTCCAGTTGCTGGAGACATGGCTTGCTTCTTGGCAGGACTAAGGAGTTTTTAAAACTTTCATTTGTACATATTGTCATTTTTGGATCAAAAAGTATGCTTGGGTTAAGAAATAAATAGAAACAATATCTCATTTACCTTATTGTAGCTCATGCAGTCTTCCTAACCAGAGGATAATTCCTATGTACAGTTGCCCCATGGCTTTGAGTGTGAACTGCTACAATGTAATAATTTTAAGTGATGGCTAATCTATATATTTTGTTTGTTACAAGAATGTGAAGCCCAGTGAGAAAGTATGCCGCACAGAAACAAACAAACCCCCGCAATTGAGGCCTAGCTTGAAGGAGGCAGGTGAGTAGCCTTGTACAGCCAGGTGAATGGAACTCACCTGTGACATCAGCAAAGGTTTCCATTCCATTCTTCCAATAGCAATGCTTATAACTGGCTTATGTCAGCCATGATGGAGAAGGGCAGTGATAGAGGAGCTGTCAGTATGCTGAGAAATGGCAGGACACCTAGAAATTGTTATTACTCTTCTACTAACATTATATGGGGGAATGTGTATTGGCAAAATGTTGAAGAGGAGAGAACTAGAGCAAAAATGCAGCACTAGCAGTAGCAGATAATAATAATAATAATAATAATAATAATAATAATACCTCTCCAAATGCCCACTAGGGAACAGGGGGCATGTTTGAGAGGGTCTTCTTAGGCCCCTGCTGGACATTTTGAAGCATCAAAATGGTTTTCAAAGTTTTTAAAAGGTTGATTTTGATCACCGGTAAACTATTCAGGTTCTAAACACTGGAAATGTACTAAGTCCTATCTCATGGAAACAAATTTGGGCATTTTGGAACAGAATAAACAATTATTCCCTAGAAGGGTACAAAATTATTCTGAGAGACATGAGGTCCATACTCTGCTCATCTATAATTCTAGATCATTGTGTCACTGCTTATTTTAATGTGGTACTGGTTTTTGATGGCTGTAAGAAAGCCAAGCAACCTTTTCCTTTGCAGTGCTATTAGTGATCAAATGGCTAATTACGCATAGCTTGACTCCAGCAATACATGCAGCATTCTCCATGGCAAAGTACCAGAACTTTCCAATGTCATTTCTCACCATTCAGATTTGTTTCCTCTGAGTCCAACTCTAGGTAGCAAATATATGGTAGACTCTCCCAGCCATTAAGAGCATTTACTTCTTTTTGTACTTGCAGTGTGACTTCAAGTTATTTCCAAATTATGCCAACCTTATTATGGAGCTTTCTTAATGTTTGTTCAGGTTTGTCTTTGCCTTCATCTGAGGCTGACAGAACATTACTTGCCAAGATCACCCAGTGAGTTTCCATTACCAAGTGGAGATTCAACTGTTCTTGAGAGTCTTTCACACAGCCCTATATCCCAGAATATCAAGGCAGAAAATTTCACTATCTGCTTTGAAATTATCTGAATCCACACTCAGATAATGTGGGATTTTTTGCCTTGATATTCTGGGATAAAGGGCTGTGTGGAAGGGCCCATAGTCCAACAAACTGCTCACAATGCTGGCTCTTAATTATGTGCACCATTCTTATTGTAATGCAATGGTTAATATCTCTTGGATTTACAAAATACTTTTTTCCTGACAGAGATGAAATGTGCAAGAACAGATCCGATAATAGGAACAAACATAATTGAAATGTCTTCAGCAGCTTTGCTATAAAGACTGTAAAAACATGCACTTGTAACTCAAAATTTACTCCTAGGGTGCAGAACCATTTTTAATGCTCTCCCTCAAGGTCTTAGTAAAGGAAAAAAGGCAGGTATGTCTGGAAGGGATTTGGTTTACCACAAATACATCGGATCAGGCAGTAAAAAGCAGCCTCTGCATTCATTTGCAAATGAGAAGACAACAGAGGAAGCTGAGGGCCCTTGCACACAGCCATATATCCCAGAATATCAAGGCGGAAAATCCTACAATATCTGCTTTGAACTAGGTTATCTGAACTAGGTTTCCTGCCTTGATATTCTGGGGTATAGGGCTGTGTGGAAGGGGCCTGAGTTGGAGGAACTTCTAAAAGTGCTTCTGCCTCAGAAAGGGTATTTATTCCCTGAACCACATCTATAACTTATCAAAAAAGAATATAGGCCTTGATAGAGTGAACACATCGAAATGGTATTACACACAGTTTTTCAAAAATATTCTGTGACTGTGTGAGTGGGAGCATGAAGTCATTAATTTATGTAATGCAACTTAAATATGAATTAAATCCATGAAAATATGAATACTGTATGTCACCATGTAATAGTACCACTTCTCTTTTTGGGTCTCAAAATCAGTTTCTTCCCTTTCCTCGCTTAATTGTCACATTAATCTTCCCAGCTAAGGCTCTCTTTTCCCAGATACCCTTTTTAAAACAAAAACAAACTGGAGCCAGATAGGGGTATCCCTTCTACCTCCTCAGAGGTAAGGAATGTTTAAACACACACAAACACAAATCAGCAAAACTAGGGCATACTTACTTTTCTTTGTATAACACTATGCAACAAAATTTGAAAGATTTTGTGTTCCTGGTTTGAAAGTGATATTTCCTGTTTAATTTTACAGTACTTTCTTTGAAAGTAGTTGTTATACTCCAGAAACCGTTTTTGTGGCTGTCACAAATTATGTTGAATTGGCTGAGACAGAGATAATCAGTGAAAAACTATAGCAAAGTGTGCTGCAGGATGTCCCGCAAAAACCATTTTTTTGCAGTTTAATAAACATTTCCCACGCTTTTATGATATAATCAATTAGGAAATTACATTTATAACCCAGGAACAAAAATCGTGTTACATAGTGTAACTGCCACATATACCGCCCCCCCTCAAAAACACACACACTTAAAAAAAAGAAAATGGCATAAAAATATGCCTATTGTACAGTGAAATATGGTAAATCAGAAGTATCTAATGTGACCAGCCTATGTGTAGATCAGGCCTTTTCAACCTGCAACCCTCCAAGGTTTTTTGGATTGTAGCTTCCAGAATTCCCAACTATTGAACAAGCTGGATAGAGCTTTTGGATGTTGGAGGCTCAAACACCTGGAGGGCTGCAGGTTGATGAGGCTTAATTGAAGAATAATTGAAGAATAGCTAACTTTAATTGCTGGGATATGGCAAGAAATTTAAAGGCTTTCACAGGCACCAAAGCAAAGTAGGAAAAGGACAGGCATACTGCAGAGATATTATGGAAATACCATTACTTCAGGAGGCAAGAAAAAAAGGCTTTAATAATAGGGCAGAGGAAGAAAGGTACAGGAAGTGCCATAGCAAAAAGAACAAAGAGTTACAGATTCCAGCTCCGTCCCATTTGGAGGGTCTAAGGCCTGGCCCCTACCGTCACAGCTCCCTCTGGCACAGGTAAGAAGGGGGGGGGGTAGAAAGGTTGGGAACAGGAGGCAGTGCTGTGCTCCAAATCCTCTGCTCCCTGTGGGAGTGAGGGAAGGTAGGGAGGAGAGGGTACGTTCTCCAGAAACTGGAGTGACTTGGCACAGGGGGGAGGGGGTTGTCATCTCTAGCAGCCAACTTGTGTACAAAGTCTGCTATTAGGGAAGGGGAAGAAGGCAATTACTCTATGGATCCCTCAATGTGGAAAGTTCCAAGGCTGGCTGCCAACTCACTCACAGGACCAAATCAAGCCTCATTTTTCCTATTGCCACCACATCATAGAGAAAGGCAGATTTTTTGATAACTATTAGAGGCGATTTCAGTACAAACAGCACCAAGCTGGAATTCTCCCAACTACTTTTGCTGAGGATTTCTAGAACCAACAATCCCTCCCCCCACCTCACCGCAAGGACTTGGCCACCAGGAGAATGAAGCAGACAAATTACAGTAAGTGGGTTTTTAAAAAAAGGACATCAAGTTGACATAGTCGTAAACAAGCACAGTTTTGTTCCAAAAATATTTAAAAAGCACCCTCCCCACCCCTGGGCACACTGGCGAGCATGGTGTACATTTAGCTGGGACAGCCCCCACAGGTCTGGCTGCTTCTCATCGCACTTCCAAACTGCGGCCTTCTCTGTAGGCTGTGCAGAAAGGATGAGAAAGCAAAGCTGAGGACTCCAGCCCTTGGTCTAGAACTGAAAGAAAAAAGAAGAGAGATACTTAATCCAAAGGGTGAATGAATCCACATGCTGTATGCTGTTTCTCAGAGGATCACACTAATAATCCATATTCCAAGAGACCTGAACTAACCCATTTATTTCAATTAAGTAAAAAGGCAAGGACTGCAGAGTGAGAGATGAGCAAGAAGAGGGAGGAGCAAAAACATGGGATTTTTAAAAATCGTGTCAGAAGTAACTTGAGATAACTGCAAGTTGCTTCTGGTGTGAGAGAATCGGCTGTCTGCAGAGACATTGTCCAGGTACGCCCGGATGTTACCATCCTGTGGGAGGATTCTCTCATGTCTCTGCATGAGAAGCTGGGGCTGACAGACAGGAGCTCATCTGGTCTCACAGATTCAAACCACCGACCTTCAGGTCAGCAGTTCAGTCAGGAGAAGGGTTTAATCCATTGTGCCACCACAGTAATTTAGATTTAGAGAATCGAACCTCTCGATAATAGTCATAAAACCTGCCTGTTATATATATATACAGAATCCTAAAAGTCCCAATTAGATTCCCAATTAAACATTAAACAGAAATGAATCCCACTGGACACACACATTCTGAATTACTGCCATAGCATTTTACAGCTCATTTTTTATAATGACTATGAGCAGTGAACAAAAGTAACAAAAATTACTTAATCAAGGCTAAATGGTGAGCTTTTTAGCCAAGATAGGACTGAGATCTAGCATTTCCATGTTTACAGACAATAGGAGTCTGTTGTTTTTAATAACCTATCGCATATACAACATAGGATGAAATTCTCCACTGTCTCTAAATAATTTTGGGTCCATGCAGCAGTCACCGCTAATCCTCATCTCTAACATTACATCATCTCCCTTTTTTTAACAAAACTAGTCTGATGGCAAACCAACTCAGCTCCAAAAATTAATTGGTGACATTTAGCATTTCATCAGGACACCACTTTTGTGGCGCCTATAAGGCCCTTACATTCTTGAGAAACTCCTCAGCCACAATGCGAGCCCTGGCATTGACAGACAGCTTCATCTCGCTTATTTCCTTGTCAATTTCCTCCATAAAATGAATGACAAAGTCCACCAGCTTGTGCTTGTACATCTGCTCTGTATGGAAATTTGTGATCAGGAAACTGATGTCATAGCCCTGGGAGAAAAAAAATATGTTAAACAAGGATCCACACATTATCCCTCTTATATAATATGGATAAGTAATCCATCTTATTAGCCAAATAATGATGGGGTCTTCCTTCCAAAAGATATTATCTTCATATATATGTGATGGGTATAAGAGTAGAAAAAGTAAGCCATGGTCCTCCAACATCAACTTCGCTGGACTGGCCAGGTTGTCCAAATGCACAATCATAATTTTCCAAAGAATTTAGTCTACTTTCAGCTCAAGAATGGAAAATGGAATGTCGGTGGACAGGAAAAGATATTTAAAGATGGGATAGAGCTAACCTAAAAAATGTGGAAGAAACACCAAGAACTGGGAATCCCTGGCCTTCAAGCATTCTAACTAGAGATGAGCTAGTTAGAGCTTTTATCAATGGTGCTATGGATTTGGAAGAGGCACGAATAGAGGGCGAAAGGGAGAAACGTGCCAAGAGGAAGGCTCGACAAGCAAAGCCTTGTTGCAACTGCCATCTGGAAATTTATGTTCTCACTGTGACAGACCATGCAGATCCAGAATAGGTCTCTACACTCACTTACAGACCCAGCACCATGACTCTACCCTTGGAAGACTATCATACTTGGGCATGAGGGATCGGCTATGATGATGATTACTAGTTTGTCAGACAAATCCATATCAGCACAACGTTATGTGAGGAATAGAATAGCCGAGATGCTGCTGGTTTGTCTCAAACACAAAAGAACACCTTGCATTTTGCTATTGCCTCTGATCAGGTCTCCTCACCTCCACTGGTTTCCGGCGTAAAATGAAGAAGTTCTCTGCTCTCATCATCATGAAGCGCATAAACTTGTGGCAGAGGATCTTCTCAATCTCATCAGCCTGAAAGAAACAAAAGAAAGAAAAATAAATGTTTCTCTAGGTCAGATTGCAGTAACCCTTTCACATTCTGTCTCCTGTACTTAGCTTACCTGCTTCACTGCAATGCTAACTCGGACAGAGTTGATGGACCCTTCAATGAGGACTTTCTCTTTCTCATTTCTGCTGATGATCACTGGCTGCAACAGTAACTCCTTGCTACTCCTAAAAAAAACAGAGACAGATGTACTTCATCAGAGATTTAAGAGTATATCCCACATTTTAACCATTCCTTACTACTTCCTCCCTGGACAATCCTTTTTATGTAAACTGAAAATTTCTCAATAAAGATATTAAAAATTAAGAGTATATTGCACTCTACTTTGAAAAGATTCCAGAAAATAATCCACTGTTAATAACCCCACTCCTGTCCATTGAGCTTTTGTTCCTAAATATAAGCTGCCCAAGGATTCTCCGCCATATAAAGTCATGCATAAGTCATCTCATGGGCAGGCTTTAGGGGAAAATATGAATTTCTGTATGACCCATGGATAAGTTGAGGACTACTCCATGGAGACGGGAAAGCAGCAATGCTGACTCTGGGCCAGCTGCCTCTAGCATTTGACAGCATTTTCCCATTCAAGCATTTGAAAGACCAGAAGCAGTGCCATGATGGAGAGCAGAAGGGTGAGTACTCTTTTTAGGTTCTCCCAGGATGGATTAAGCTCTTGCCTTTCACCACTTTACTTAAAGAAGGAGAAGATTCCGTTTTTATATGAGTTGAGGTACAGTACGCACATGACCTGTAGATAGGCTGACCCACTTTTTTTTGTTTGATTTTTTTTTACTAAAATGTCTAGACTTATACATGAGTATATAGGGAATATTAAAAATAACACCTTTGGAGGCATAATCAACAGGCATCTGTAAACAAATTCTGGAATTGTAAGAATGAAACAATGCAATTTGTGCAAAAGAATAAGAAGCAAGATTTTTGATAAAGTGCTGCTGGTACGTGGATGCAAACTACAAACAATATCAAAAATCAGTTTAACTCTTTTAACTGAGGAGTGTACAACCAGCTGTGCTGATAAAGGAAAACCAGGGCATTGCTTGACAAGCTACACATTTCACTGGACCGATAGCTACCTTTGTCTGGCAGCTATGTTTGCCTCAGGTTAGCGAACCCCTTCCACCAACCCCCCCCCCAAACAAAACAAAACCCCAAAAAACAAAAATCCCAATAAATTACTTATGGAGGTCCTCTGGTCACAACTCTGGAATTCTCCAAAGAACCAAATTAAATCCCCTTTCTCAAGCCTTACTCATTCACCCACTAAATATGCACAAGTACTACACTTCCCCTTGACCCACACCTTCATAATAAATAGAGATCAGCAACTAGACAGCTCTCTTGTCTCACAAAAGATCCAGAATTGGCATAAGCTATAAGCCCAGCAAACAACCCCTCTCACCCATTTGTCCTAATTTCAGGACCCATCGGGGGACCCAGCCATCCATTCAACTAAATTGGGAATCTCAAGGGACCCATGTCCTAGCTTGCATTCTTCCCCAATCTTCCATCCTCCCAGAGGCATACATGAACAAAGAGGCAAACATCTTGTACGAAACCAATCCCAGTTTATTCCACACTATGCACCAATCACAAACGGAATGAATGTACTTTTGAACCAATGAGATTGTGAACTGTAATTTGCACCAAACACAGCACATGTCCACTCTTTGTAATGACTGTAAATGTCTATAAAATATCTAGGACTGTAACTGAGAGACATGCCAGATTTGGGATTTTGTTGTCCCCTAGTATCCGCCTTGGTCACTGTGGAATAAATAAATTCCTGCTCCAATCAGTGGATGTGATTGGAGCTTTAGCACGTTAGGAAACCTGATGTTTCTGACAATACTAGCTACCTCCGATCAGAGCTTGGAAATCTTTTCTTTTGATTAAAATTTCCACCCCCATCCCTTCCCCTTCCCCCATCAACATGGTCATCAATCACATTGCTAGAGTAACAGCAAAAAAGAAGAAAAAGAAAAGAAAAAAAAATCCTGCTCCAAAATGCATTTTTCTTTCAGCAAATTGCCATGGGATAATTGTTCTGAAGAGCAGTGGGTGGAAGATGTGCAAGATACAGTGAATAGCGGTTATATGTACTGCTAATCACATTTCCAAGTCTAGAATAAATCTCAAGAGTGCTTCAGTATGGCCAAGTGATTGCAGGCCTAGACTAGGACACAATTTCTAAACCTCCTGAATGTACTGAAGAAACATACTAAATGGCTTTGCTCTGAACCAGTATTATGCAAAAACGTTGCACAGATAGAAATAGAATAAATACGTACAAGGAGCTCTAAAGACAGAAATAAAATGTTCATCTTACTGCTGAGCAGTCAATTGACACACCCTCATGAATCACACTGCTTTAGACATATTTGCTTTTTGATACTGCTGATTTAGTTCAGAGTTGAATTTAAGTGGTTTGCCCTGGTGATTACTCATATGAATCAAGAACATTTTAAACAGGAAAATGACTGGAAATAGTCTCAAAATGTAGAAATTATAAAGGCTTTTTCGCAATTTCACATGGTTATTTTTAACCCTCTTACCCACAATCTTCATGTTTTGAATAAAAGCACTCTGCTTAGAAAAATCAAGTTTTTGTGATTATGGAGGAAAGACTCAACCAGTTTTTACTAAAGAACTACAAAGCGGTTTAAGAAATTTTCATGCATAATCCAGTTTTTCCTACCTGCATATAACAATGTTTCTTCTCTCTGAAATTTGTGGCAGGAAAATCTTAATTTGAAATTCTACAAGAACTATCCCTACATATACAATTTTACTATTCTGCAAAACATGAAAATTTGGTAAATCAAATCTGATCAGGTTCGTAAAATACATTTAGGTATGTGGTATTCCTATATGTGGTGATGAAAGCCTATATGGTGCAGTGATCTGAGTGTTGAACTATGATCTTGGGGATAAAGGTTTGAATCCCATCTCAGCTACAAAAATCTAACAAGTGATCTAGGGCAAGTAACAGTCTCTCACCCTCAGAGAAAACCAACAATAGCCTTTGATAGGGTCAACTTAGGTTCATCATAAATTGGAAACTACTTGAAGGCACACAACAACATATATAGAGCCATTTTGCACAAACAGCAAGCATGAAAGGTAGGAAACAGGCTATGGAAAACTGCATACGTTGCTTTTATTATTACTGGAAAAAGAAATCAGCCTATGCAACCACAAGAGCCTTGAATAATCTTAAGATGTTTAATCACACACCTCCTCTTTGAGATCAAGATATCAACAAGAGAAAACTGAACATCGTGCAGAGAAATGAAATCTTCCTATGCTTACAGCAAACAGAGTTTTGCTCATGTCAGTTGCAAAACAAAACACAAGAATGCTTCAATCCAAGTAGCAACAATTAACAAGCAACATTATTTTGATCCTACTCATTCTTTCACGTATTAATCTTCAAATGTCAATTTAATAATATAAGAAAAGTGCTATAGGATCAATACAGGATTTAGTGAAATCCACAGAAAGGACAAGCAAGACAGTATCTGTAGTTATCTCTCTCACGCCCACCACTACTAGGGCCCCACAGCTGAATAAAATCCCACATTTTCTGCTTTGAACTGGAATATTTGGCAGTGTGGATTCTGATAATTCAGTTCAAAGCAGATATTGTGGGATTTTCTGGGTTATCTGGGTTATATGGCTGTGTGGAAGAGCCCTAGGTCACTCTTCACCAATAAAATGTTCTGTAGCCTATCAATGAGCCAGCAAAGACAAAGGATATAAAACCTCATCAGCTGGTGGGAACGAGAGAGGGGGTCTTCTCCATGATTGCCCCCTGCCTCTGGAATTCTCTCCCCAAAGAGATCAAAATGGCCCGCATCCTTACTCTCGTTTAAAAAACAATTAAAGGCCTACTTCTGCTCCCAAGAATATGGAGAGGAGGCATAGTTACCATGAAATGGAAATTTCTGGTCACTCTGGCTACTGGCTGCAAAAAAATAATATTTTAAACCTTATTTAAAATATTTAATATTTTAAACCACTCGTGTAGCTTTGTGGTTGAGGATAGATTAAAGGACATTTTAAAGTTAGACATCATACCCACAAGCCTGGTATCTACATTCAGACCCACCCACCACCCCCTCTCTCCTGACTAAATAGAACAAACTGCAGCCTTCCAGATGTTACCGTATCCCAACTTCCATCAGCTCCAGTCATTATATCCAATGATGAGGAATACAGGAATTGTAGTCCAACATCTTGAGAGCCACGTAAAATGACATAAGTTGGATTCAGCCCATAGGCCTTGAGTTTGGCACATGTGCTTTAGTCCCTAGATATTTATTTATTTATTTATTTATTTATTTATGTATGTGATTTTTATCTTGCCTTCCCTCACTCAAGGGCCCAAGGCAGCTAACAGCATTTATAAAATACACATAATACAAACATTAAAACAATACCTAATAAAACCAAGTATTCAACAGTGCTTGAAAAATGTTAAAACCTGTTTATTAATATGAAATTAAAAATCCTAAAGCAAGGGTTCTGAAAAGTCATTCAAGTGCCGTTATCTATTTATATCAATACATCCAATCCGGCAAAAGCTTTCTTTAAAAAGCATGTTTTGAGACTTTTCCTGAACCTGAGTAGGGTATGGGCAGATCTAATCTCGTCTAGGAGGGCATTCCACGTTAGAGATGCAGCCACAGAGAAGGAGCTTTCCCGCAAAGCTGGAGATGTGAATTGGCAGAGGCTATTGTTGACACCAGGATCTCCTCACTAGATCTAAGAGATCTCCCAGGGATGTAGCAGAGGACATGCCGTCACAGGTAGCCTGCTGGGTTTTAACACTCAGAAGTACTGTGTCAATAAGGGTTGCCTTGGCAGCTATAGTCAAACAGCATTGAGGAACTCATATATCATCACCGTTTTCATTGTGTCCCATACTGGATACCGAATTCTGTGGATGCAGAAATCCCATTATATGCAATGGTGTGGTACAATTATTTCTTTATATAAAATAGTAAAATCAAGGTTTGCTTTTGGGATTTTTGAAATAATATTTTCAAGCCATAGCTATACAATCTGAGGATATGGAGAACTTACTATTTTGTAGCTAATTCCTTTCGGGGGGGGGGGGGGGGGGAGAGAAGGTGACAACAATACCCTCTCCCCAAGAAATAAAAGCTTGCACATTCTCCTCCTTCTCCTCACCTGACTTCCACCTCAGGCTTGTTGTGCCGCTCCACCACTTGGGATGAGAAGTTCTCCAGGCACATAGCAGCCTGCAGGGTAGCACGCACGGCATTGAGATAGGGACGGAGGGTGGCGGTCTGCAAAGAAGGAAAGGCAAAGGCATCAGACGCTGCAAGTTCCTCTTTAGGTCTCCATGACGACACACCTTAAAAACAGCCCACATCCTCCCAGTCCAATCAACCTATTCGCTAACATTGTTCCCTTTTACCAGCCTACACTGTTCTCCAGCACAGGTTTGTATTTTTTTAATATACAACATACATTCATGTAAAAGTCCACCTTGTATGTAAATTGCAGGCAGGTTTTGAGGCCAACATTCTTGATTCTTATATGACCCAGGGGTAAGTAGAGGGCAATTCTGCAGAGAGGGGAAAGCACCAATGCTGCCTCGAGGAGTCAGTCACCTCTGGTTGCCATTCTCCCACCCAGGTATTCAAAAAGCAGCATCACAGCAGGCCAGTAGAAGGTGTCTATGCTTTTTTAAGGTTCACTCAGAATAAGCGAAGCTCTTGCCCTTTCCCCCTTTATTGAAAGGTTTCTTTTTTGATCAGTGTTAAAATACAGTACTTGCTTTGATCTATGGAAATGTCAACAATAGGTTTTGGGAGCTGATATTTTTAACAAAAAAAAATCTAGACTTCGAAATGCATATAGAGTATGGATTTTAATTGTTTATGCTTTCATGTATTTTAATTTTATTTTATTATACCCTGACCTTGAGGAAAGGTGGTTAAGAAATAAAATTCATTATTTTGTTATTTTACAGATTCTCTACTACAACTGTCTAGACAATTGTATCATTAATATTAAGAACAATTCAACTGTCTAGACCAAGCATGGACAAACTTGGGCCCTCCAGGTGTTTTGGACTTTAGCTTCCGCAATTCCTAACAGCCAACATTTGTCCATGCCTGGTTTAGAGGTATCCATGAGTATATAAGGAATATGTTTTAATGATTACATTTTTTGTTATTTAATTATGTTGTTTTCTGGTGTTGAGCAGAGGCAGGCATGAGATAAAATGTACTGCTGTTGTTAAGGCTGTTGCTATCATATTTGTCCTGTGGATATGTCAACTCAAGCTTTGGGGGCTGATTTGTTTACTAAGATTTCTAGACTAATACATGAGTACGTATTTTAATGGTTTATGTTTTCATGTATTTTAGTTATATTGTACCCTAGATTCAAGGAGGGACGGTTAAGAAATAAAGTTCATTATTAAGATTATCACATTGATCCATGGATATGCAGACTCCATTTTTGCAGGCTGATTTGTGCACTACAATTGTCTAGACCAGGCATGGCCAAACCTGGGCCCTCCAGGTGTTATGGACTTCAACTGTCAGGAACTGCGGCTATTAGGAATTTTGGGAGTTGAAGTCCAAAACACCTGGAGGTCCGAAGTTTGCCTATGCCTGATCTAAACCTTCACCCAAGCCATTACGTGTAATAAAGATATTGTACAGTACTGGGCCCTGGACAGATCCCTGCGCCACTCCACAAGTCACTTCTTTCCAGGATGAAGTGGAACCATTAGTGAGCACCCTTTGGGTTCGGTCGCTTAATCAATTACAGATCCACTGGGTTGCTGAGAGTTTTCCGGGTTGTATGGCCATGTTGCCGTAGCAATCTCTCCCGACGTTTCGCCTGCTTCTGTGGCTGGTATCCCCTGAGGTTTGTTAATCAAACTATTATATGACTAACACTACGATATTATTATTTGAAACACAACAAGACGAGTCCACAGCAGTCAAGATCACTCTGCTTGCTGTTGTATTGGATCACACGTTGGACACTTCCCAAGTGTTTATGACTGTGTGATGTATCAGCGAATAATGCGTGCAGATCCCAATAAGGTGGCCTTCTGCAGCTGGCAGATGGCAATTTTGTCAGCACCGATTATATTATTAATATTATTATTATTACCATTACCATTATTATTATTATACCCAAGGACATCAGGCATGCCCCAACTCTGGCAGTCTTTAGGAGGAACCTGAAAACATGGCTGTTCCAGTGTGGCTTCCCAGAATAAGGAAAATTCTTAAGCAATATGCCCTCAGAATGCACTTTACTACTGGTTAGGATTGACTGCGTTCCCTCTCTTTGAAAACCCTATACTAGTTATGTCCTACCTTGTTCATGCCCAGCGTTTATTTTTAAACTTTAAACTATTACATTTGGCCCGGCCATAGGTTTTTTAATCCTTGTGTTACTGTTTATTGGTTATTGTTTCTGTGTGATTTATATTAATTGTATTGTATTTACTGGTTTTGCTTATTGCTTTTCTTTATTGATGTACTGTTGAGCTTGGCCTCATGTAAGCCGCTCCGAGTCCCTTGGGGAGATGGTGGCGAGATATAAATAAAGTTTTATTATTATTCTTMTTATTAGCTGTTATTTATCAGGGTTTTAGCTGTTTTTTGGGGGTTTTTTTTGTCATGTCAGGAGTGACTCCTGGTGTGAGAGAATTGGCCRTCTGCAAGGACGTTGCCCAGGGTACGCCCGGATGATTTGATGTTTTTATCATCCTTGTGGGAGGCTTCTCTCATGTCCCCACATGAGGAGTTGGAGCTGATAGAGGGAGCTCATCTGCCTCTCCCCGGATTTGAACCTGCGACCTGTTGGTCTTCAGTCCTGCCGGCAGAGGGCTTTAACCCACTGCGCCACCGGGGGCTCCTGGACTGTAAGACCTCCTGGACTGTAAGACCTGTAATCGTGCTTCAATGCAATGTAATTTTGATATGTTTGAAATGTTTTAATATGTTTTAATCATCTGAAAGACTATTTTAATTTATATATTTGTGTTTCTYATAGTTTTATAATATTGTGTTCTATTGATATTGTTGTTATCTGAATCTGGCATTGAATTGTTGCCATAGTTTGTAAACCGCCCTGAGTCCTCTTCTTTGGGGTGAGAAGGGCAGGCTATAAGTACAGTACATAATAATAATAATAATAATTACTGCAAATGAGATCTATATGCTGGATTTCGTATCAAGAAATCACAAGTTGAACACTTCCCAACCCTTTAAGCCTATATTATTATTATTATTATTATTATTATTATTATGGAGCCCCCGGTGGCGCAGTGGGAGCTGGCAGGACTGAAGACCAACAGGTCGCAGGTTCAAATCCAGGGAGACGCGGATGAGCTCCCTCTATCAGCTCCAGCTCCTCATGCGGGGACATGAGAGAAGCCTCCCACAAGGATGATAAAAACATCAAATCATCCCCTGGGCAACGTCCTTGCAGACGGCCAATTCTCTCACACCAGAAGCGACTTGCAGTTTCTCAGGTCGTTCCTGACACAACAAAAAATATTATTATTAATATTATTATTAGCACTACTATATTATGCTGAGCTTGTTGACCAAAAGGTCGCAGGTTCGATTCCAGGGAGTGGCGTGAGCTTCCGCTGTCAGCCCTAGCTTCTGCCAACCTTCTGCAAATGTGAGTAGATCAATAGGTACCACTCTGGCAGGAAGGTAACGGCGCTCCATGCGGTCATGCCGGCCACATGACCTTGGAGGTGTCTATGGACAACGCTGGCTCTTCGGCTTAGAAATGGAGATGAGCACCACACCCCAGAGTCAGACATGACTGGACTTAATGTCAGGGGACTACCTTTACCTTTTACTATATTATGACACTACTATTATTCTGTAAGGAATCCTGCGGGAACTGTCCCGAGGGCCTCTCCCATGGACCTTCTCCTTCGCCCACTGACAGGCCTTCCCTCCTTCTTTCTGGCCTCGCCTTCCGCCTCGCCCGGCCTCGAGGTCTTCCCTCCTCCGCCCTCCATCCACCCACAGAGGCCCTTCCACTCACTGACTCACCATGGCAGCAAAGGCGACAGAAGCAGCAGCAGCGGCAGCAGCCCCGAAGCTTGGTCCCTAGTACGGAAGCGGAAGCGACCCCCGCCAAGACAAGATTTTCCCCCGCTTCCGGAATATCCGGACTGAACCACAATCGCTCTCAGAGGGGGGGTTATCTGTATTTGAAATACCGCCCTTAGGGCCTTTTAATTCCCTCCCGTTGTTGAAATAAGCCGCGATATCGTTTTAATGAGACATAAAAACCGAGGTAGATATTCCCTCTAAAGTAGGACAGCGGCTACTGAGTTCCCTCCTTGTTCCTTTCCAACCGGCCACCTCCCTTTTTCCTAAATTGGTACAACCCAAGCGACAGCCGGATTCCATATTTGGAAACAAGAGCGAGCGTGGGCGGGGCTAAAAGGAGCAGCCAATAGGGATTAACAGGAGGGGGGGAAAAACCGGCCACAGAGATTGGTTCTAAGCCCACGGAGGCGGGGCAATAAGCGCAGCGACGGACCAATGAAAAGGCGGCAAGGGGAACCGGAAGTGGGGAGCGAGGAGGAAGCGGAGGAGGAGGAAGTAGTCTAATGCGGTAGAACTCATTTGTGTAGATACCTCTCCCTCCTCCCCCTCCCCAAGCTGGCCTGTCCTCCAGTGCCCCGGAAGTAGACCCTGGGACCGGAAGCCGCCCACACCATTCTCCCCCTTTCCTTCCAGCGCCCCCTCCTGGCCTCTTCCCTCTCCCCATTCATCTTCTTCACTGGCCTTAAACAGGCAGCCTCGCTTCTTCCCTTCCATTCTGTGTTTCCATTTGAATGCCTGCTCTGGTCAGTTCTGCAGAAGCAGGCCCTTGCATATTCTTTGCCCTCTTAACCCTTTCCCTCAAAGCCATGGCTCCCATTCTTCTCCTTCTGAGCCTTTGCTTCTAGCTACTCCTTCTTGTCTTTTTAATTATGTCTGCAAAGCTATTTCTTCACTGAATAGCTGTCACTGTTAGTGTCTCTTCCCATGACAACTTCCTGGGCCAATTCCTCGCCAACCCCACTTTATTTCTAGCTGTCACATTTATTCGCTTTTCCTTTCTCTCTCTCTGGTTGCACCTGCCTCTGTTGCACTTGTGTTGCTTTTCGTTTTCACAGGACCATCACCACCACCACCAGCAGCAGCATGTCTGAGCTCAAAGACTGCCCCCTTCAGTTCCACGATTTTAAGTCCGTGGACCACCTCAAAGTATGTCCCCGCTACACCGCAGTCTTGGCCCGTTCGGAAGATGATGGGATTGGCATCGAAGAACTTGACACCCTGCAGCTGGAGCTGGAAACTCTGCTGTCTTCTGCTAGCCGCCGACTTCGCGTGTTGGAGACAGAGACACAGGTTAGGCAACAACTTGGAATGGTTCAGAGCAGGGCTTCTTAGACTTTTTCCATCTGCAGCACCTTCCTGTCTTGAGAAATGTTTAGGTAAAGGTAAAGGTAGTCCCCTGACATTAAGTCCAGTCATGTCTGACTCTGGGGTGTGGTGCTCATCTCCATTTCTAAGCCAAAGAGCCAGCGTTGTCCGTAGACAGCTCCAAGGTCATGTGGCCAGCATGACTGCATGGAGTGCCGTTACCTTCCCGCCGGAGCGGTACCTATTGATCTAATCACATTTGCATGTTTTCGAACTGCTAGGTTGGCAGAAGTTAGGGCTCACAGCGGAATCAAACCTGCGACCTTTTGATCAACAAGCTCAGCAGCTCAGTGCTTTAACCCACTGAGCCACCAGGGGCTCCTGAGAAATGTTTACATAATATAATAATAACTTTATTTTTATACCCCACCAACCATCTCTCCATGGGGACTCGGGGCGGCTTACAAGGGACAAGTCCAACAATTACAAATAAAACACAATCAATTAAAAACATCAGATAGACTATAAAACAATCACAATCGTAAACAACATCAAAATAATATGGCTAAGAAAGAACACAGCTAGACATAGCTGCAGTTCAGGCTCCATGAGTGGAGTACAAACTGAAGGGAGCGCAAGGGAAGTAGATCAACAATCAAGTAGACAGGGCTGGAAATAGTGTCATCAAAAGTGTTGAGGTAGGGCGCTAAAGGGCCGGTGTAAAATGCTGAACTTAAGGTAGGGACAGGGAAGATTCCTGGTGGACTGCCTAATCAAAAACACACTGAAACATCCAGTTATATATCCCGCTTTGCTCCCTAATGGGACCCTAAGCGACTCACAATATAATACTTATTTACTTAAGCGATCCCTCGTAGCTCGAGGATGATGGTCCACCAAGGTGATGGTCCTCTTGGCGGTGGGTCCATAGGTGGCTATGGAGCCCTATTCTTGATTCACGTGTTCTCCCACAGTGAGGACATAAGTTTCAAAGTGGAAAATGGTCCCGGTCAGGGTTGGTTTGATGTGCCTTCCTCTTGGCACATTTCTCCCTTTTGCCCTCCATTTGTGCCTCTTGTTTTGTTTTTATTTTCTTGGAAGATGCCTGTGCATTAGGTTTTTTTAATGTGTGGAGGTCGGTACACAGCTGATCAACACACAGTTTTCACAGGCCCCTTATTGGGATCTAGTTAACAAAGTTATTGTGGTGTTGATATTTGTTTTGTTCAGATCCTGACAGACTGGCAAGACAAGAAAGGGGACAGACGATTTCTGAAACTAGGCAAGGAGCATGAAGTGGGCACACCTATCAAACACGGGAAACCCAAAAAGCAGAAACTAGAAGGGAAAGGAGGCCACAGCACAGGACAGGGCCCTGGCCGGCCCAAATCCAAGAACATACAGCCCAAAATTCAAGAGTATGAATTCCAAGATGACCCCATTGATGTGCCTCGTATTCCCAAAAATGATGCTCCTAATAGGTATGTAGGAGAAGTGTTTCCATCATCTTGTTTATGTTGTCATTAGCAACATGTTATATTGCATATATATTGTTATGAGAAAGAAAGGAGTTTTGGAAGAACCTTACCACCGCCAGCCAGAAGTTTCCAAACCTGATTTACAGTCTGGTGAGGTAGACAATTATTACTCTCTCTGAAATTACTGTTTCTGATATGAATGGAGATTTAATCCTGGTCAGCACACCATGCTGTTGGGGGATAATTACTTCCACCTAATGCATCTTAATTTCTGTTATCCATTAATGAGGTAAAGCTGGTTGTTGAAGTTCAGTATTTGGAGGCTTTCTTCAACTTGATCATCTAGTACTCGATTGTAGTGTGTACAGTAAACTCATGTAAGCAGTAGTAAAAAAAAAAATCAGCAGAGAAAGGCAGTGGAATACTGCCACATGTCTTTCTTCAACTTGATCCTGTTTGTTCAAAGTGAGGACTGGATTCTGGTTCAGAAAAAAGTATTTTTCTGTTATCCAAATCAGAGGTGAGAAACTTTTAGCACTCCTAATATTTTGAATCATAGTTGCCATAATCTACTATTGACCATGCTTAGCTGGGGCTTCTGGATGCCAGAGTTCAAAATATATTTAAGGGTGTATTATTTCCTTCTACTGTTCTGACTTGTGAATGACAATAATAAAGCTGGAATTACTGTGCATGTCTATTAGAAGCGGTCTAGGGAAGGCTGGTGTTTGTTCCGTATCAAAGCTTCCCTGTGGCTTCTTAGGGTGCCAGCTAGAATGAATTTAGACTGTACTATGTTAGCACTCCCCTTTCCCCTCTTCAGAGAAAAAATACCTGGCCTGAGTCTTTGCTTGCTTCTCAGTGTTTGTGTTCTGCCCTTTGTGTGCAGATTCTGGGCCTCAGTTGAGCCATATTGTGCTGACCTCACCAATGAGGAGGTACGTACCTTAGAAGACCTCCTCAAGCCTCCTGAAGATGAAGCGGAACACTACAAGGTACATGAGATGATGGCAGAATCAATTCATTCAAACTGTCAGTCAGTTCTGGGTTTTATTCAAACTGTCAGCTAATTCTGATTTGTCTTGCACCTCCCATGTTGACTCATCATATAGGCCTTTTGTCAGACTATTTCACCAGTGATATCCTCCAGTATGAGTGATAAATGTTTTTTTATAAACATATAGGCCCTCTGTATTAGGGAAAATGTTTGCCATTGTTTTGCCATATCTTTCCACTTTGAATAGCCCATTACTTGGAAAAAAGATGGAAGAAATAGAGCTTTGTCTCCTATTGCCCTATCACTTATCTTCTCTTTGCTTTGGGACAACATTGGGAATCCTGTTTGTTTCAGCAGGGCACTGAACTGGTACTCTTCTCATAGAACACCAGAGAGTATAGCTGCACTGTGCCAGATTTAGTAAGACTGGATTAGGGGAAAGTAAAGAGTAAATATCATTGTGAGTTTGCCTGTTGCATCTATAACATTATTAAAGAAACTGAGATTTTTGCTTTGGGACACAGAAGCTGTTGTGTCCTGACTTCTTAATCCTTTATTTGGAGACGAGGGAGCTGTCGTTTTCTATAGTTTTTCTAGTAGTCCCAATATAAAAGCAAGTTTCACAAGAACCACTGGCTTACACCTTCAGCACAACGTTTTCCTAGATCATGGAGTCAGTTTTCGGTTCTCATTATTTCTCATTACCCCAGGTAACCCTTCGTTTCTTAAACTTCTTCCTGTATTACATTTCTCATTTTGGAATGTGTCCTGTGTCACTTTCCCACCCATGTATTCAGGAAAATAGATGAGTGGCTCATGATCCTACATTTTCAAATGTAGTTGGGCTTTGGCTCCCAGACATCCCAACCAGCATGGGTAACAATTTCATTCATTTTCAATAGGAGTTTCACACATTTCTTCATGTTCAGAATAAAGAAAAATTGAGATTTTTTAAATAAAGAAAAATTAAGATTTTTTTAAAAAAAAAACTGGAGAAACCAAACCATTGGTCCATGTATTCTGCATATTTTGGCTCCTTAACTCTTGGATGCCTGGCTTGAATTGTTTGGCATTCATTTGTGTATACTGTATTAGTGAGTACAAGCATAATGGAGGTGATCTTCATCACTAAAACCTGTAAAGTAGAGAGAGATCTAACATGGTCTTTTCCCTCCTAGGATTAGATGCAACTTGTTGACTTTCATTTGTACAAATTACAAATTTTGTTCCAGTTCAATTTTTGAAGAATTTATCAAAAAGTCTGCGTAAGTATCCTTATATTCAAGACAAAATGAATGTGGTGTTCTTCCCTTGTAGATCCCGCCCCTGGGGAAGCATTACTCCCAGCGTTGGGCCCAGGAGGACATGTTAGAAGAGCAGAAAGATGGGGCTAGGGCAGCAGCTGGCGCTGACAAAAAAAAGGGCATCTCAGGGCCACTGACAGAACTGGACACTAAAGGTATCTCTATCGAATCTCACTAAAAATTAAAGTGTCTAAGATAAGATGCCATCTTTTCTGGAATAGTCTAGA